ATACCCTTTGATGTCTTATTGATTTTGTTTACTATGGTATTCTTATACATATTTATGTTACTAGGTATAATTGTAGTTTATTTTTAGATAGTACTCAACTGATTGAAGATAGTATACCATATCCATTCTTCTGGGATGGACATTTGGCTTTAGATTATTCTGAGTTTTTATTCGTAATAATTGCATGAGATTCATTTTGATACGAAATAAGGAAGAATTTCTAAACAAAACCAACTTAGTTATTTGTCTATTACTTTGGATAACAGTTTCTGATTGAATAAAACAATGAATGAGTTGAACACTGAATGCAAGTTCAAAGGTGAAGTTTGGCATTGCCTTTGGTAGCATGAAGTCTAGTGCACTATCGGCTACACACAGAAATAGTGGAAAGTGACATGTAGTGCAGACAAAGGTGGACATGTGGTCATTAAAGCCCAGAAACAGAGTGCATTTAATCGTAGGTGCCTGACAAGGCCTGAGAGGATGTGTTAAGTGCTGGTGTTTAGCAAGTTTCAGATTGTTGAAACTGTGTGGGCTATGTGGACAGGAAGACTGCAAAGCAAGCATTTGTTGTGAATGTGTTAAGAGAAGGTGTTAAGAATCTGGACAGCTGGGCCTGGATTGTGCTTGCACTGTTTGCTTGCTGTGACCTTGAAGCCTCTCTGCCATCCTGTGAGCAATGAAGGTCAGAATCCCACTAGCATAAAATGAAATGGCTTGCTACATGTCCCAGGACTACGTGCCTCCACAGACTTGCGGACCTTTGCTGTTACTGAGCCCTGCCAGCGGGGCTTAGGTATGCCATCTTTTAGGCATGCCCTGTAGAGATTTCTCCTCAAATAAGCCAGCTTTCAAGGAGTCTGACACCAGATTGCTCATGTTTATTCTTAGATAAACTATGTGAGCTTTGTGAAATGACTGAACTTTTCTGGACCATGTTTTCATGATACTTATCACATAGAACTGTTTTGGAGAATAAGTTATTTCACGTATTAAAAACACCAAGAACAGTACCAAATGCATGATATTCATTGTCACCTAGTCTATCTTTTTGAAGCAGCAGTAAATGATCCAGCTTTTTGCTTGGCTGACTGCATGAGGTGCATGACACATGGCTGTGGATGTCTTTGATACATCCCTCCATTCATATCATTCCAACCATGAACCAGGCTGCTCGTCTTAGGCTTGTACAGAATGAACTTACCCACGCTCATGGCCTGTGTATTGGAACATAGCTGTAACCTTCTCAGTCTCTGTTTCTTAGTTCCTTCCCCATTTTTTAAAGTCCATGGGTTTTAGTTATTTTTCTACAATCCTCTGGTGAAAAATATATACTTAAATAGTATTTATATAGACTATATATTTAAGGGGCACAGTATATAGAACATGTGGCCTGCCTGGTCAGTGCAGAGATAGTGAGAATTTTTTTTTCCATATTTATTTCTGAGCTCTTTTCTTATAATGCAAAGTTCCGCTGATGGCTTCTTCTTCACATTATGCTGTCAAGTCAGTTTGTTAGCCACAACTAAAGGACTCTGGATCCATTCCTACATTTGCTTATTCTAAAATTTAATCCTTATTATTGACTGAACTGACTACTTAAAGTAATTTCAACTGGCAGGATGGTAATTGACGATAGAGAAACTCTTCAAGGAGTTTACAGTTTCCTGGCATGTCAGGCATGGAGAGATTTGTAATAAAGTGTTATTGTGACAATTGTTTTACTGGCGATGTGCAAAGCGTGCATGATATCCCAAAGCTAAACACCCAGTTCTCAAGAGAAAGAAAAAGTGAGATCATGACAATGAGGATAGTGGAGGGAAGAATATTTGCCATGTCATACGATCCTAGCAACCAAGAAAATGGAAGGGAAGGATTATCTAAGTAGAGGGAATGAACCAGTTGCAACATGGCACGGAGCAGTGTGGGATTCTGGCCACCATGCCAAGTAGATCCTGCAACTGCCTGGCAATCATTCAGAGGAGTTGCTGGGGTGAATGAGGACCAGGCCACCAAGGATTCACATGTTATAGTGAGGAAGTAATAGTTAATCCCATGAATAACAAGTAGAAAATGGTTTTAGGTCAGAAAGGGACGTGATTAGACAGCTGTATCTTTTAAAGACTTATTCTGGTAGCTTGTACAGTGTGATTTGAGACCTATAGGAAGGGAGGGGTCACACGAGTACAACAAATACAGCAGTGTCAGCAATGAGCAGTACAAATCAAAACCTGAATCCATGACTGAGGTATGGCAATAGGAGCAAGCAAGAAAGGAATATTATGATAGATTTGTTGTGTTGGTAAATGTAGCTCTCTTAAACACTTTGAGCAGTGAATAGCCTGAAGCTTGTAAAACTGATCTATTAGAAAGAGGAAAGAATTGAAGCTTAGAGACCAGGTAGGTGACATTGATGTATATTTCAGGACAAGGGGTAAGGGACTGAGTTGGGAGAATGAAGCAACCCTGTCCCTTTCAGACCTTTGGAATCCATTGGGGCATCCACATGGAAATTTATAGTAGGCATTTGCTCTTAAAAAAAATAAAAATAAAAACTCAAGAGTGATTTCTGTTGAGTATTCGGAAAAGTCTTGGGAGGTCATCCAATCCTATGAGTAAGACCAATGAGACCCTAAAAGGGCTAGGGGTACTATGATGAGAACCCCAACTCAGAAAAAAATCATGGAGAAGGGTAATCTCCACGTGAAAGATGATTTTTGCAAAGTATGTCAGTTGGGGAGTTGGTTAAAAGCAAGTAAAAAAGACAAAAAGGTTGTTAATAGAACCTATGGCCAAACCTATTCGTGAAGCATCATGTATCTTCTAAGTGAAGTTGGACCAGGCTGTGGAAAACATGCTTTTGAGTAAGTGGCCCTGACAGGAATTGTGGTTCAGGCTGGCCTGATTCCTTTTGGATCAATTCTCTCTCTCTTTGGGACTCCAATCTAGTGAATTCTAATCTGTACATTCTAGCAGGAGCTGGTGGCAATGTATTAGTTCAAATGGGGCTAAAATATCTCCTTTCTTTTTCCTTTTGCTTTAAATGGAGAAGAATTCAAGCAGAAATGATTTTTTTTCTGTGCAGCATTTAAAAAGAAGCTCCACCCTTTCTTCACAAATTCAAACTCCCTGAAAAGACAACATACTGAACAGCATTTAAAACTTAAAAAATTGAACTTTGAGTTTTCATGTATTTCAGTTATGAGTTCCTTCAAACAGAGGCCCGGAGTATTTATCTTAATGTCCCTAGTGCTCACCCAGAGCCTGACATACAGATGGGCTCCATAAGCCCTTATTTTCTTTCCTGTTTACAATTATACATTTCTGTATTTGAGCATTCCTGAACTGTCTTGAACCTTCTTAGTTTATAACATTGATGCCTCTGTATTGTGCCTGTTTTTCTTCTTCATATTCCTTCCTTTCTTCCCTCCCTCCCTCTTTGTTCTTTCCTTTCTTTTTCTTTCTTCCTTCCTTCCTTCCTTTTCCTTCCTTCCTTCCTTCCTTCCTTCCTTCCTTCCTTCCTTCCTTCTTTTTTTCTTGTGTTTATATGTCCATGTTTGTGTATATATTGAGGAACTGCTCCTCCTCAAACATTGTCTACCTTATTTTCGTTTTATTTTATATTTTGTGGTAAAGTCTCCCACCAGAAACTGGATCCACCTGTTTCTGCCTCCCCAGTGCTGTGATTCACCATACTCCACCTCTTCTACATGGCTTCTAAGGGTTGAACTCAGGTTCTCCACACTGGAGCAGCAAGCACTTTACAGACTGAGTTGTGCCCTCAGCCCTAATTCAGTTCTCTTAACTACCAAAAGTTCAGTATCTTATTTTCACTCCAAATGTTCAAGTGAAATGGGAGTTTATTTCAAGGCTGTTTATATGTCACAGCATCTGAGAGCTAGCGAGGGAAATTGAAGCCAGCCTAAAGAGAGCCAGGTGGAGACGAAGCTGCCAGAATGACCCGCTACTTCTCACGTCTTCAGGATCTGTTGCTTCTGCATCTTGTGTTCTGGTTTCCCTTTCTCTTCAGAATTTTCATGGTAAAAAAAAAAAAGTATAATAGAGCAGATGCATTTCCCCCCCTTAAATGTCACGAGCTTCACCATTCTGGGATTAGAGTCTTGCTATTGTCATCTCTGTTCCGCCTCATCAGTCCCTCTGTTGATCAGAGTAGATGATGGTGGCCACTCTCTACCATCTGGGAAACAGAATTCATGGTAAAGAGGTCATGGCCTTTACTTGATTTTCAGGTGAGAGCCTCCCAGACCATTGCTTTAATTTTCCTCTGTTTTATAATCTGTACAAGGATGCATTTTTCCTCCCCCTCCACCCCATCCCCAGGTAGCTTATCATATGCTTCCCGAAAAAGTGACTATGGGACCTTCCTTGAATTTGATAAATTTCTCAACATGTTGTGAATGTCTTGCTGCTCTTCCTCTGGATATTTTCTCTATGACTGCTACTAGAGGGTGAAGGAAGTTTGGAGTCTGTGTACCAACCCTAGGTTTACCTGTTCATCCAGACTGGAACAGGCTATAGTGGAAATAGTGATGATCTTTGCTTCTTGTGCCCAAATGCACAGAAGTGTTTATTGTTTTCTTGCTGGGGAGACTGGGTTTCCTTATTCAGAAGGTGCAGCTTCACCATCTAGACAGTAAGGAATAAATGGAGACTTTCATAGCAAGAGAAAAGAAAGAGCTTGGATTGACCAGCTCTTTATCTATCTTGTGCAGAGAGCATTGGAAAATTGTACTTCTCTTAGATTGAGCAGTTCCTAGCTAATGGAAACTTATTTCAGTGAGTAAATTTTGAAAATATTTTATTCCTGGGTAGGATGGAATTTGCATTTTAAAGAAAAATATTTATCATTTTGACTTTTTCTTGCTTACTTAAGATTGGAGTTTTCTTATGTGTATGCTTTTTTATATAATTGGGTAGCCAAATTCATAAAAGTAGCCTGTTATATTGTTTCCTAATGTCATTTTTTATTATTTGTGCAGGGAATCAGCAGTCTCTTCAGTTCTTTAAAGGTGGTGCGTCTCTTACGCCTGGGCCGTGTTGCTAGGAAACTGGACCACTACTTGGAGTATGGAGCTGCGGTCCTCGTGCTCTTGGTGTGTGTGTTTGGATTGGTTGCCCACTGGCTGGCCTGCATCTGGTACAGCATTGGAGACTACGAGGTCATTGATGAAGTCACCAACACCATTCAGATAGACAGCTGGCTCTACCAGTTGGCCTTGAGCATTGGGACTCCATATCGCTACAATACCAGTGCAGGGATCTGGGAAGGAGGACCCAGCAAGGACTCTCTGTATGTGTCCTCCCTCTACTTCACCATGACGAGCCTTACAACCATAGGATTTGGAAACATAGCTCCGACCACAGATGTGGAGAAGATGTTCTCTGTAGCCATGATGATGGTTGGCTGTAAGTACCTCTTTTCTTTCTCTGTTAAAAATGATTTCAGTCTGTGAATCTTCTTTTTTTTTTTTCTGGTTCCAAATTCTGATGGGATTGAAATGATCTACTTTTTCTTAAAGGTTGTAATTGAAACCATTTGCAATTGGTTTACTTTTGGTTCAGCCCTAGGAAATAAAAATGCCAGGAATGTCTTTCATTCTTTAGAATGCATTAGCACATGAAAAAACAGTGTGGGGAGGATGATAGAAAACTCAGGCTGAAAAGTCTGTGATTTGATTCCATGCATGGTGTTGTACCTGGCAGCTCTGGGGAAGGAACTAGCTCTGGTATCTAGACAGGAGGAGTCTGGCACATTCCGTAGGTTTTGTTGGCAGTCAGATTTCTAAAAAAGCAGATGGGATATGATGTAAGACCATAAGTTAGGAAATATTTTAGTCAATAACTGAATTTCTGAATTAAAGTGGACTTCAGGATACAGCGTGATGCATTCTTTTCAATCATGAAGACTAATGAAATGGAATTTGTAAATGTCTTTTGACAAACACTGTAGTCAGTTGAGCTTGTGACAGAGAATGAAAGGACTGGTGAACTGGAGACCTTTAGCATTGACAAGGGTCCAAGAATCAGTATGCATGCCCGACAACGGTGGCTTGGTGATGTTCTTGAAAGCAGAATGCCATTTCAAAGAGCTAAGGACCATGTGCTCTGCCCCCACATTCTGACTGAATGGCATCAGAGTTCCAGACATGAAAGTGGTGCAAACCTTAGATGCTGTTTCAAAATGTCTCGAAGGAAAGTTGTCAGGCATTTCCACCTTCAAGCTGGCCCACGTGACTCATTCAAGCCTAGTTCATTCACCTAGAGTAACTTTTAAGAGTGCTGTGTTGAAGATGAGACCACTATTAACACACATGATAGCCATTGACATCATTATCATTGATGTTTCTTTTTCCTTTTTTTCTCCCTTGTGGCTCCAAATTACAGAGCTTCAGATATGGGCATTCGTGAGAAAGATTTGGAAGCTGAGGGTCATTGGTTGGCCTAAGCAGTGAATAACTTGAGTCTAGGCCTTCATACTTTAGTGTGGGGAAGCTATTAGAGCACCAGTGTTAGCAAGTGTTCAGTTCCCCACTGTAATCATCATGTAGAGAACCAGAGAGATAGAGACAAGAATACCCAGGTTCTAAGTGTGAATTGGGGTTTCAGTGAAAGGGGCATTAGAATACTAGTGTTATCTATTCTAGGGGCCTTCAGGGGGAACATATTCTACATACACAGAGATGTCCCATGTTGAGTTCACGATAAATTCAACTGATACTCATATCAAAAAGATATTTGGACAATAATGTGATAAAGAAAACATTGTGTTAAATGTAGAAATCAACACTATGCTGCTTTTAATGCTTAGGAAATACATGTTGTTTGATTCTTATGCAGACCTAGAATTTGGTAACCTTTTAATTTTGAATAATGACCATATGTACTGCCCGAACTTCTGCCCACTGTGAAGATTTCCCTTTGTCAGGGTCTTTCAGGGTTATTCTAGAAAGGGGTTGTAATGCCACAGCTGCCCACTTCTGAGTGGTGCCTACAGTAAAATAGGCCCTAGTCTCCTCCTCAATCAATCCACCACAGGGAACACCCCATGAGGTATTTGGTGTATGCTTGGCAGCAGACAGCATTGTAGTGGGAGTAGAAACCTGCTCAGGTCCAATCATGTATGTACCACTTCCATCTGATAAGAGACTGCTGCTGTGCACATGCTACTCTACAGATTGATGGGTCAGGTAACACCCAGCTCATGAAGGGCATCCATCCAAGGTCTCATAGTAGCTTGGTGACCCATTGTCAAACATCCTGTTTCTACTAAGGCCCAAGAGCTGTCTCTCAAAGGGAGAATAGTTATCTGCAGATGGTGATAGAACCTTGCTCTAATGCATCCCTACTTGACACTGATACCTCAAGAACCATTGTGGGTCTATTGGATTATATGGTCTAAGTGGTAGAGCAGCCTACACAGCAGCCTGGACCTGTTGAAGAAACTTCTGTTCCAGGACCCACTCAAAACTAGAAGCTTTCTGAGTTACTTGGCATATGGGCCAAAGTAACACACCCAAGGGAGGAATTCATTATCTTCAGAATCTAAATAGGCCTATTAAATGTTGTACTACTCTCTTAGTGGTAGAAGGGGCTAGGTACGATAACTTATCCTTCCTTGGAAGAAATGTCTCCGAAGGCCCCACATACTGGATTGCTAAATATCTCAATGAGGTAGAAGGCCCTTGCAGTTTGATTGGATTTACTTCCTATCCTCTGATGTGTGTGTACATTGCTAATGAGTTCAAAGCAGTTGCCATCTCCTTCTCACTTGGTCCAATCAGCATAATGTTATCAATATAGTGAACCAATGTAGTATTTTGTGAAAAAAACAGATGATCAAAATCTCTTTAAACTAAGTTATGACACAGGGCTAGAGAGTTAGTATAGCCCTGAGGTAAAAACATAACAGTTTCATGCTGGCCTTGCCAACTGAAAGCAAATTGCTTCTGGTTGTCTTTATGGAGAGGAACTCAGAAAATGTCATTTGCTAGATCGATAGCTGCATACCATGTACCAGGAGATGTGTTCAGGTGCTCAACTATGGACACCAAACCTAGTACAGCAGCTGCAATTGGAGTCACTACTTGATTGAGTTTTCAGTAGGCTGCAGTCATTCACCTGTTCTACCTCTTGTAAACAGAGACTGCACTTTTGTTTCCTGGCCGCCCAGACCCAAATTATCACACAGAAACTATATTAATTACAACATTTTTTTGGCTAATTGTTCAGGCATATTCCTAGCTAGCTCTTATCTTAAATGAACCCATTTCTACGAATCTGTATATTTCCATGAGGCTGTGATTTACCAGTAAGGATCCTGTGTCTTTAGCCTTCAGCAGCTATATGGCTGTAGTCTACCTGACTCCTTCTTCTATCTCCCTGCATTCAGTTTAGTTTTACCACCTACCTATATTCTTCCCTGACATAGACCAAAGCGGTTTCTTTATTAAAAATGGTAATAGCATATATTCATAGCATACGGAGAAGAATACCACATCAACCTGTCTTCTGCATTGACCAGTTAGGAGAGATAAATGAACATGTGGTGGGAACCACCACCCATGCATCTTTTAAGTCCTTAATGGTGGCACTAATTCCTGCAATTCCTCCAGGAATGCAACACTGGTTTTGATTCAGTTCATTCTTCTCTTTGGCAGAGGCAACTCTAAAGGGTCCATGTAGTCTAGTCTTTTTAACCATAATATCCCTCTCTCTGCATGACAGGGAACCAATGTGAGAATTCTGCCAACTTCTAATAGTACCTATCCCAATTATACATTCTCATGTGCAAGTATGTTTGTGATTTATCAACTTGGACTCCTTTTGACTAGTTCTAGTTTGAAGGTATTACAGATAAAGGTATTTGTACCTGTGCAAATAGATTTTTATATGGACATAAGTTCTTAATTCTCTGTAATAATGTCTAGAATTATCAGTATGTATATATTTAGATTTTAAAGAACTTGCCAAACTCTTCTTCAGGATGGGTAGCCTAGAAAATAGCACTTTATAACACAATCAAAGTAAAATAAAGCCAGTGTAGAAGTTGAAATACATTCTTATTTCCTTTGTTCCTCAAGTCCCGAGGCTGGGAAGCATCCTGGATGCCTGATTTCCTCAAATGTTATACCCACTTACAACAAAAACCTTTGATTTGACCTTCAAACTGCATTTAATTGCTTCTCTGTGCTTCCACAGCTTACCACTTAAGACCAAATCAATGTTGTTGATAGCATAGACCCTTGGCGTAGTCTCCTATATTTTCCTTCTATTGCTATTGCTGCCCTAGAAACTCTGTTTAGTGACCCCTTTAAAGTAAATATACAGTACCATTCTTCAGCACAGTTGCCTCCAATGTACACAAACAAAACCTACATTACTTACTGCTTCCCCGTGCATGTAGATATTTATTTTATTTCCTTTTTATTTGTTCTTTGAGAATGTCAAACAATGTGTTTTTGATGATATTCACATCTCCAATCCCTCCCAGGTCTGATGGCTATTCTTGGTTGTTGACTGCATCTGGAGCTACCTAAAACCCAAGTGGCTGGGCACACCTGTGAGGGATCATTCTTAATTAAACAATTGCAGTGCCATACCTACTACTGTAGAAGCTTCCTAAAATAAATATGCAAATGGATATAAAAAGTGTTGACATGGAGTTACCCTAAGCTTGAAAACAATGGCTCTGTTTGATACCTCAGACTAACAAATAAAAATCCCCAGGGATTTATTTTGATGCCAGGGATGGATTACTTTTTCAGGTGTTGTTGGCTAGTGGGGTATTGTAATTGGAGCAGCGGGGCTGTGATATGAGCGGCGGGCTGCGTTCTTGGCACCCAGCCGCCCACACGGCTAGCTTTATACCCGAAATAATTACATGGAAACTGTATTCTTTTAAACACTGCTTGGCCCATTAGTCCAAGCCTCTTATTGGCTAGCTCTTACATATTGATCTAACCCATTTCTAATAATCTGTGTAGCCCATGAGGTGGCTTACCAGGGAAGATCTTAACCTGCGTCTGTCTGGAGTGGGAGAACCATGGCGACTGACCTGACTCAGCTTCTTTCTCCCAGCATTCTGTTCTGTTTACTCCACCTATCTAAATTCTGTCCTATCAGAGGCCAAGCAGTTTCTTTATTACTTAACCAATGAAACAACAGATAGAAAGATGACCCTCCTCCATCAGTGGAGTCCCGTAGATGCCCAAATAATACAGGCTATTGGCAATGCTATTGGTCATCCTTTGGAGCTGATAATAAGATCCTATTGTTGAAGTCACAATGCATTTGAGTCACACGAAACATGGAGATATCAAGGTGGTACTGATAGGGAAGTATCATTCCTACTGACAAGCTTTCATAATGCTGGGAGGTGCTACCCATGTTACCAAAGGAGGAGAGTA